TTGAAAAGAGGACATGATTACTGGAGCTACAGCAGCCATTTTGTAATCATGAGGAAAAAGCCAATAAAACTGCAAACACAGTCTTCCTGATAGCTCCTAAATCAGTATTCTAACTTGGATTGTGGCTTGAGACTTCTTATTAAGTGGAAGAAATAGAAACCCTTTTACTGATAGGACACATCTTCTACATTTACCTATTATATTCAGCAGGTCAAACTCACCAGCTACTACTCCATGGAGACCCTATACAGGGTCGCTATGGGTCGCAATCAACTCAACGGCACTTACCAACAACAAAAAGGGTTACTATGGGTCGGAATCAACTTGAGGGCACTTAACAAGTAGCACAGTGGTAGTGTAGTGGTTACAAGCTGGGCTGCTAATCTCAAGGTAAGCAGTTCAAAACTACCAGCTGTTCCATGGGAGAAAGATGAGGTTTTCTGCTCCCATAAAGATTTACAGTCTCGGAAACCCTATGCAGGGTTGCTATCAGTCAGAACTGACTCCAAGACATACCACCGCCACCACCAAGTAGCAGTGATTAAGCACTTAGCTACTAACCGGAAGAATCTTGAGTCATGTTCTCCGTTTATGGACAGAAGCAAGTTGGAGGCAGGGAGGAATGGCAAGAAGTAAGAATACTGGAAATCTAAGAGTATAAAGACCCAGGTACCACAATTCGATAATATAGTCACAAGACCCTGTGTGGCTCTCCTTGCCTACAGTTTCCTCTTGCACTCCAGTGTCTGCTTTATTTCATTTAACTAATATAGCCATTCTATGGTGTTCGTTCCACATTAGTGTTGTCATTACCCTATATATACCTATCATTTGCTTGGCTGGAAATTCAGTCTTGGGGGTAAATTCAGTTCCAGATATAAAGGGTAACTGGTTCCACAAGGCTCTAGCGGACCAATATGCCTGTTTTTTGTGTGTGTGGGGTTTTTTTTTTTTTTATGCTTTTGGGTTCCACATTTTTTCCCACTCTATCCAGGACCTTGGAATATGATCCCTTTCAGAGCAGCCATCATCCAGTTCAGGTCTCAGGGTCATGGAGACTGATGGTCACGTGGTCCATTAGTCCACTGTACTGTTTCCATGTATCTTCAGTTTTCATCATTCTTCTCTTCGCCCAACAAGTAGAGACCAATTGTTATACCTTAGATGGCCAACTCTTGAGCTTTTAAGATCCCAGTCACTACCCATCAAAGTAGGCTGTAGAACATTGTCTATGTGGACTAAGCTATTCCAATTGACTTGGTGTCCCCCAAAACTATGGTCCAGAGCCCCCAGGACCAGTGACTCATTCCTTCAGGATGTTTCGTAATATCTAATTCATTTTCATAATTTTGAGCCCTATACAAGGTCATCATGAATTGGAATTGACTACACAGCACTTAACAAAACAACAACAACAAACGTTACACCACAGAATCCTGGTGTGATGCTGAAGCATAAGCACTAGACGGCTAACTGTAAGGTCAGTGATTCAAACCCACCATCTGCTCCTTAAAAACCATATACAATGTTGCTACCAAGTCAAAACCAATTCAAAGTAGCACTTAACAAGCATTTGCTCAAAGATGTTTAAAGATCCTATTTAAAAAGATGCTAATAAGCACTGGACAGCAAGGTCTGAACTGCAAACTTAACAGCTACTCCTCAGAAATCCTATACAGGAGAACAACTTGATAGCACTTAACTAACAATAAGACATTAATAATGAAACCAAACAACAAAAAGTTTATTCAATATAATGTCAGGACCTAAACAGGGACTAAATGGAATTCAATTATTAAATGTACTACACTAAACTTCTATGTTTGTTTCCTCTACTACTAGACTGTTGGTTCCTTGAAGTCAAGGGTCAAGTTAGTACACCTAAGAAACTTTTCCTTAAGTGTGTCAGCTGCATTGGTCCCATAAGCAACTCCTTGCCACCAGTGCTTTAAACCTTTCCCTGGACTCCCTGTATCTACAGTGCCACTGTAGCCATCCAAGGCCAACTTGAAACAATGTAATTCTATCCCTCCCACTGTCAGATCTTCCTTCCTCCTAATCATCCTGTACAGTGTTTCAGGCAACTCCTGACTCACTCCTGCCTTATAAGGCCCCATGCCCTAACCTGGCATGAGGGTCTCTCTCAAGGTTTCATCACTCACCTGGAAGGCCAAGTACCTAGGAATCTTTCTGGCTCTCAGTAGCTTCCTCCAACAAATTTTCCTTTGTGGTAACACTGCCTTTCAAAAACTGCCCTAGAAGGCACATCAGGAGAGACTGGTGTGCTACTGTGGGCTAATGTCCTGGTATGCAAAGTCGGTTGCTGAGCCACAATGTTTGCAGTTCAAGCTCACCAGCTGCTCCTTGGAAACCCTGTAAGGGTTGTTGTTGTGTACTGTGGCGTCGATTCACGGGAGCAGAAAGCCTTATCTTCCGTGGAACCACTGATAGTTTTGAAATGCTGACAGCAGCCAGATTTGTAACCAGATTCACAGCCACTAGGCTACCAGAGCTGATATAGGTCAAATGGACTCTATGGCACTTAACAACAGAAGGCACAACTACTAACAACAATTAGCATTTAATTACTAACTTAAAAGTGCTTCTGACTGATATGCTTCTATAAGATTATAATTTAGAATACCCTTTGGATTGAGAGCTGGATGTAATCAGGTATTAACACCCTCGGACACCCTCCTCTAGGGTCAGGACCCACTAGATAGCACTTTAACAACTTTCTATCCTTATTCCCAATCTCACTTCCCACTAAGGTCTAACTAAATCTCATTGTCCTCTTTAGTATTTGCAAACAGATGAATTAGCATTTTAAATACAGGCAAAGTGGGTCTCAGAATGGTTGACCCTCATTTCCTTACTGTAATTCTTCCTTTCCTCAAATTTTCTCCATAGCTTAACTTAAATGTTGAAATACATTTGCTTAATTTTATGCAAAATCCAGTTAGTGGTGTTCTCCTCCTCACATACAAATGTGAAACAAATCCAAAACTAATGAACAAAAACAAAAAAGCCTTTACTTGGTGTGGCTCTAACTCTTACAGTAAATCAGGGTGGGGGTTGAGGAGTGGAGGGGTTGGGATATGAGTAACACATTATCACAAAGGTGACACCTATTACCTAGCTGTGTAAGACACACCTTTTCTAATTAACTTACAACAAACTGTGGAGTCCTGCTGTGATTCCATAAGATAATGTACTGGACCATAAGGTTAGTTTGAACCACAAAGTCAGTAGTTCAAACTCACCAGCTGCTCCTTGGAAACCCCATACAGGGTCACTATGAGTGGAACCAACTCAACAGCACTTAACATCAACAAACTGTGTGGCAGGAACAGCCAAAGAACTAGTTAAGTCTGACAGGAGGTTCAGGGTTTTTCTCTAGAGCAAAGGAAATGCTTTCAATGCCTGGAGTGAGTCCTGAGTAAAAGCAGAACCAAGAGACCAGTTTGACCACAGCTGAAGAGTTGCAAAATCAGAAAACTGGGAAAATATGATGGACAGGATGAAACAGGCAACTGGAGGTTCTGTTAGGTCCTGAAGCAGAAGGACTTTTTGTGAAAGGATTAGTCTAACATAGGCTGTACCAGGAGGGAGGTAAGAATGACATGAAGACAGGAAGCCAGGGAGGGGCACATACCAAGAATGAAGATCTTAAATGTAACCAAGGCAGTGGACAGCAGAGGAGTAAACACAGGAGAGAAATAACAGGATTTAAGTCATGTCAAACTTTTTAGACCTGGGGAGTGAAGAAACTGGGAGGCTGAGGAAAAAGAAAGAAGAGTGGGAATTAGTAAGACAACTCACTTTAACAATTAAGAAAAGGAAAGCAAACTTGACCCCACATCTTCAAATTTTAAGTTAAAAGAGCCCAGATGCTTGCTTTTATTATGAAACTCAAACTTTGCAACTAATCATATTTTTCGATGGTACTGTGCAACTTAAGTAGAATGAATGTACACAACAAAACGATCTCAAAATTTGCCCTACATACCCAGCCCCCCAATCCCCTGGGAGGCAGGGATCAAAAATGAAGGCTCTGCAGCCACACTGCCTAGATGGGAATCCTGCCCTTCCCCCTTCCCCCCCGCCCCGCAACCAACTTGGAAAACTTGAAAGAACTTGGTACCTGGGAGGAGGGGCATGTGTTTCAGTTGTTTTTTTTTGGCTGGGGGTGGGGAAGGTGAGATAAAGGAAGGTGTTGAGTGTGTCTGAAGCTGCAATGCTGACTTAGAATAGGTGAGTCACCTCCTAAGAGTTTCAGTTTCCTCAGCTACTTAAAAAAGAAAAGAAGAGGATTGTAAAATCGATCTAATCGAGTTTTTAAGTGCTGCATTAAATTATACTTTACTATTTACACCCTCGGAAACCCTGTACAGGGTCGCTATGGGTCGGAACCGACTCGATGGCACTTAACAACAACAACAACAACATTTAGCATAACGTCTTATGTGCAATTAGCGTCTGTAAACGTTGGTTTTGCAGAATACCAATCTAGGAATGTTATTTTAAGCACTATTTTAAAAAGTCAATATCTCATCTTGACAGTCTGTGTAAAATACTATTTAGATGTTCTGAGACTCTCAAAGGCGATGGAGATCCCAAAAGGATTCCGAACCAGTGTCGCGGAGGCGGAAACAGTAGACACTGAGGACCCTAGGCACCATCCTGGGGCTGGGGTGGGCGGCGGAGGTGTTCAGAGCAGCAACATTCGCAGAGCACTTTGCCGCAGGCTGTGTGCTGGACGCTTTAACAATAAATCGCCTACTGTAATTCTCACGGCAGCCCTAGGAAGTAGGTGCTTTCGTCATAGCCCCTTTACAACAAGGGACACTAAGGTCCCCCCACTGAACCACTAGCCCAAGGTCACATAGCTCGAGAGTCTGAAAGGTAGGTACACAGCGATTCGCTGTGTCCCAGCAGAACAGGAAAGGGGGGCGCCCAGCGGCCCCGACAGAACCGAGGCTGCAGGCGGCTGGACTCACCTTGGCGCTGTGCACCGCCTCCTGCGCTCCGCGGAGCTGCAGCCAGATGCGTGCCGGCAGCGGCTCCTCGGTGCCCAGCGCGCCCAGCACGGCCAGGCTCACTCCAAACAGGCCCTCGATGCGGTCGCAATTCTGCTCTAGCAGCGCCGCCTTCTCGGCAGGCGCCGTGAACTCATCCAGCACTGTCTGGGCAGCCATGGCGGGTGCGGCCTCCCGCGGCTGTGCCGGGGCCGGTGACGGCGACGCCCCCTCAGCGTGCTGTCGGTTCACCCGAGCCCGTCTGGTGGCGTCACCCTCCCCGGCCGTTTCACCCCCGCCTCGTCGCCAGCCCGCAGGCCCAATTACACCATCTCACTAGGGCCGCAGCAGCTAGGTAACTGCGGGCAACAAGACCCACCACCCTTCTGCTGCAGCTGCGGGCCGGGCCCACCGCCGCGCATGCGCCCTGTCCACCTTCGTCATCGAGTCTCGCCATCCAGCGAGGAGGAGGGAGAGTGAGGGCGATGAAAGATGTCATAACTCTCCCCGCCATATTGGTTGAGGGCAAAGCGAAGGTTCCGTTGAGTGGTTTGGGCGGCGTTGTTTGATGAGGGTACTACACTTTGTAGTCACTAGTGAATGCATGTGTTAATAAACGGGGAATTGAGGACCAGAGCCGGGGAGCTGGGCTGACCAAGTATCAAAGAATTGACCTCAGGCGAAACCAAGGTTCTAGCAGTTATCTAGCATGTCATTAATTTAACAGGCAAATGGGACTTTTCTTCCTACCTCCATTCTTCACTTCCTTTCTTCTTTCTCATCTAAAACAAGTATCATAAAGAAAAAAAAAAAATAGGAGTAATCATGGGAAATTAAAAAGCAAGGAAATAATAATAACATTGAGGAGAGCTACTTCTTCTGGGAAAGATGGAAGGGGATATTTTATGGGCCTTGTTAAGTACCATCCAGTCAGTTCTAACTCATAGTGACCCTGTATAGGGTTTACAAGGAGCAGACGGTGAGCGTAAACCACTGACCCTGCTGTTCAAACAGACATTGCAGTCCAGTGCATTAACCCACAGTGCCTTGGCGCTCATCCACCATTATACCATAGGATCTTGGCCCCATATGCAACGTCAAAAGTTTCATTCAGTTATTGCTGGACCTTTGCCAGGTTACATTCTCAAAAGTCCATGGAAACATTGTGGAAGATAAAATGTCGGTTTCCTTCTAGGCGAAATGTTGTGGATATAATAGACATTTGTTGTTGTTAAGTGCCATCGAGTCGGTTCTGACCCATGACCCTGTATAGGGTTTCCGAGGAGCAGCTGGTGACTATGAACTATTCCCTATGTCTTAATTTCAGAGTCGGTACCGACTGAATGGCACCTAACAACAACAACAAAATGCTAATAATAGTACTTCCTATTATTGTAAGAATTAATACACTATCTATAGTTGTTGTTGTTAGGTGCAATCGAGTCGATTCTGACACATAACGACCCTGTATAGGGTTATCTAGGAGCAGCCGGTGAGCTTGAACCACCTACCTTGCAGTTCAAACGGCTTTGCAGTCTGGTGCATTAACCCACAGCACCACACCAGGACTCCCTGGATATAGTAAGTGCCCACAAATATTAGCTATTTTCTTTGCTAAATTACCGATATGGTGGCTATGTGCCGTGGAATCAATTCCGAGTCCAAGTGACCTTGCACAGGGTTTCCAAGGCTGTAAATCTTTATGGGAGCAGAAAGACTCATCTTTCTCCCATGGAACAGCTGGAGCTGGTAGTTTTGAATTGCTGACCTTGTGGTTCACAGCCGATTCATAACCACTACGACTAGAGCTCCTTAAATTACCAATATACTTAAGCTCAATTTTCATGAACAAGCAGTTTTGTATGGATTATGCATCAGTAGGTCTGGGAGCCAGTTCCATCTCTATGGAGTCTCCCTTGAGAAGAAAAAAGGGGATCTAAACTTGTTGCAATTGGAAATACCAAAGGGGAATGGTCGTGGTAAAAGGAATTACTCAAAGTAAAACCAGTCAGGGATCTCAGCTGCTGGGGTTTTCCATATGCCACAGAAACTCAGGCAGGCGGGATGACTCAGCAGGGGGAAGGTAACAACTGGGCTAAAAGACTAACAACTTCCTGCTTTCCTGGACTTTTCTTTGATGTCCACACTGCTACCATAGCCTTGCTGGGATTGGCTGAAGCAAGTCAGTCAGATGGTGACCATAGCCTTGCCTATAGATTGCACTCAGAACTGTAATTAACATGCACTATACTTCCTGCCTTCTTGCACTCACCTTAAATGGGAATGTATTGTCCAGTAATTGGACAGGGCTTTTCCCCAGCTGGTTCCTGTTTGCTTCAGTGACTTTACTAGTATATCATAATAGCTTAGTTGTAGGTGGTAAAGAGGGAAGCTGATTTGAAAAGTGACAGCATACAACAGCTTGCTTTTCCACCTCCCTCCCCACCTAAAAACCTCCCTAAAACAAAAGTTGTGCATGTTATTATTGTTGTTAAGTCGCTTTTGACTCATAGCAAGCACCACACCAGGCCACATCAATAAAAGCCAGACCATTATATTGTGTGTATAAGTAATCTTGTTGTTGTATCACCAAAGATGCAATATTGCCATCCTTTCCCCTCTAGAAAGAGCCCTGGATGCAGGGTTATTAAATGCTCAGCTGCTAATCAAAAGGTTCAAACCCACCAACCATTCTTGTAGATAGTTCTTTTCTGTCCAGTGTTGTCACTATGATTAAGAATCAACTTAAAGTGTTACCAGAGCATTCAATCTAGTCAGTATTTCTCTCTGGAGGACTCTCAAGGTTTCCTGACGGAAGATAACAGGAGAAAGAGAAACTCCCTGGCTTCATGCAGTCTGAACCACGACTTCCGTAGTTGTGGCTGGCCTCATCAGCCCAGAAAAATTAATGTCAGGGATGAAGCCTTCAGGCTCTTAGCCTATACTTTTCTTTAATCTCCACAACAGCCCCATGAAATAGGTGTTAGAAGGAATCACTTCTTTCCACAGGTGAATGGAGGGATTCCCATTCTACTCCCCTACAGAGCCAAGTGTGGACATATCAGGTTTCCATCTGCCCGTTGCTCACTCTTCCCCAGTGCAGGAAGGGAGCTTCTCTAACCTGTGTCTTTCCCAGAAGGCTCTCTACTGGGCTGGAGCATCTCCCCTCCAAGAAGGTGCACTATGGCCTGCAGTCTTTTGTTGCCTGTGGTGTTGGTGACTGGTCGTGTTTTTACCTCAGTCCCATTCTCCAGGGCAGCTTTTGTCAAGTGTAAGGATAACGTTCTGATCTTTACGAGTCTGACACTTGCTTGTCTTTCTCAGTTCGGAACCCAGGAGAGGCCAATCCATGACCCACTGCCATCAGACTGATTGCCTACTCATAGTGACTCTGTAGAACAGAGTACAACTGCCCCATAGGGTTTGCCAAGACAGTAATCTTTCTGGAAACAGACTGCCACATCTTTCTCCCATTTTGAGTGGTTGATGGGTTCAAACCTCCAACCTTTCTGGTTAGCAGCCAAGCACTTAACAAATGCATCACCAGGGCTCCATGACTCTGTCCTAGGCACTCTTAGTGACCCTTTAGGTGCAACCAGCACTCTTTCTGCACTTGTGGAGTAAACAAGAGGAGATAATGCATACCCATGACAACCCACTAAGGCTTGGGTCTTGCTTGCTTTGAAATGCTTTTGAAAATAGACCTACACATGTGACACTGCCTGGTACCTCAAATCAGTTATGCCAGGCAGTATCACATGTGAACTCTACTCTGGCACAAGGGCAGTGAACTACTTAATATGACTCTTTTTAGCCATAGTCTTTATAACTCCTACAAAATGACTGGATGAGACTGTGCAATTGAGGTGCCTGTAGCCAACCAAACAGATTGGATAGCTTGTTACAATGCAAATAAGGTATATGATACCTGTGTGGGTATTGGACTATATCAATAAGGTATATAGAACCCTAATGAGGGTCAGTTTTGCTATCCCACTAGGTTTAAAATACCAGAGTTTGAAAGGGAGACCTCACAATGATCCAAAAGAGGCAGGAACAGAATATGTCCTTTAGGACCCAGAATCCCTGCACTGAGAACCTCCTTGACCTAGGAGAGAACTGGAGATGGTGGTGAGACACAGTAAGAAGCAGTAGACAGTGAGCTGGCTTCCTAGCCCATGAGCAAGAATAAAACTGAGTGTCCCCAGGAGTCTTGCTGGTGAAGTAGGGACCTCCAAGCATAGGGTGGAGCTAGGTTTGCCAATCCATGGAGCTGGAATCTGAGTACCTTTTATTTTAGAAGGCTCAGCATGAGGTTGTTCCCTATGAGGTGGAGGTTAAAGACATCCCAAATGTCTGACTTCTCTAAAGGGTAGGGGTAGTTGTGTGCCGTGGAATCGGTTCCAACTCGTAGTGATCTTATATAGGGTTCCAAGCCTATATATCTTTATGGGAGCAGAAAGTCTCATCTTTCTCCCATGGAACAACTGATAGATTCAAACTGCTGACCTTGTGGTTAGCAGCCCAACTCATAACCCATGCTACTTCCATGGCTATACCAGTCCATAATCCCTGCTATCAACCACTCCCCTCAGTATTGTCCTCCATATTCTAGGACTCTGCAGTTCACTCCAACATCTCATAGAACTCATGGACTGGTAAGGAAATGGCTCACATGGTTGGAGGCTGGCAAGTCCCAAATCTGTAGTTCAGATGTCAGTCTGGAGGATTCTCTTCACTCACACAGAGTTGGCCATTGACTCACAAGGCTGTGGAAACTGGCAAATTAGGTCAGGCTGCAGGCTCAAGTCCCAAGAACTGGAGGTCAAGCAGAGACGAGCCTACTTAGCTAAGCAATGGAGCACACATATTGCCAAGATGGCTCATTTTATATCCAGCAGAGTGGCAAAATTGACTAAGTGTCCATTAGATTTCCAAGTCTTTACAGCCACAATTAATCTTGTTAACGATCACTCACAACTGCACCATATAATCTTATCATCATCTTCCCCCACCTTCTTTTACCCAGGCCCATCAGAAAAGAGTTTGGTGGTAATTACAACAACTTGGCTAGAAGAGATATATTAAGTACTTCACTGTTGACTCTTCTAGTCATTGTCTCGTTCATACATAAAAAACTAACTTTCCCCTCCCAGTCCAAAATAGTCATTAATAATGAGTCCTTCAATATGGCACAGAGTCCTAAAGGGTGAGGTTACTCAGGTACCAGCCATTCAGATCTGTTGTTGGTGTCCAGCTAACTTGATTAGGTTCTCCAAAAGTTTGTCTCATCTTGACTCTTCCTGGCCCCTGACAAAATTCAACTGAGAGATTATTCCCTTGCTCTGAGTCTCTCCAGAAGTACCAGCACAGTGTTAGTCTTCACCACTGCATAACTCATTTATTCTG